CATACATTTAAATTTTTATGACACCAAAAATCTTAAATACCTACAAATTTTAAATAACAATTCGATAATACTAAAAAATTACTAAACTTGACCTTAGTGCTCCTTTTGTCCCAACTAGCCCTTTAGATTCATTAGTTGAGTTGACTCAATGTTACTCTAGGGAATGCCAATTCATTCACTATGACATGCACTTTTGTGTGACTAATAAAGTAGGAAAAACTTATGAGATTCAATTAAATTACTTGGAATAGCCCTAAAGTCACAAAATTTATTGTGAACCAAGTTTATAGTATGAATGATTTTCAAAAGAAGAAAGATCTATGAGCCTTAGTCTACTATGGTGAATCATATAGTCCTAATAAAATTATTTAAATGTCTTTAGAATTCAAAAATTCAAATAAAAACCTATAAATACCCCTATATTTATTAAATTTGAGGGAGGCCGCCTTCATGATCATATAAATGTCATGGACGCTCAAGTGCCCTCTAGTACGCACCGTAGATAGGTCAAACTATTATAACATATTTGAGAATAAAATACTTACAAAATATTTCTCAACTTTGTGAGTGTCCCACTTCTTATAGGTGTGAAAGCTATGAAATCTCTAAAATATTTTAATGAATCATATAGATAGGGCACATCATTAGAGTGTTCTTAAGCATAAAAATATTCATAGAAAAAATGAATGACTAAGGCCTCATTTGGAACAACTTTCTTCCTGCTTCTTAAAGCGGCTTTCTAGTACATTTTTTGTACTAAAAAGCCGTTTTAAGAAACAGTAAGAAAGTCATCCCAAACGAAGCCTAAATCATAAAATTTTTAAGAGAATTCAATTCAGTGAAATAATACATATCCTAATCATATTGTCTCATCTATTTTGTTTCCAACCAAAACATGGAGGTATGGATTTATAAACATGCCTTGATATTTGGCCTCACCATTAATAGACAAATTTTAGTATAACTATTATCAAGATTTTGATGCTACAATGATTTGGTGAGATGTGACATTACAAATCAACTTTCATTTAGGGGCATCAAAATGAGTTGATGGTTCTCATTTAGGTCTGACTCAAAATTAATCTGACAGAAGTCTACTCAACCCGAACAAGTCCTATTTAATAAATGTGTTACAATACCAACCCAAACTCGACCCTATAGCAACCCGAATGGCCCGAACCCGACCCCGACCCATCAACCTGTTTGTTGTTAAAAAAAAGTATAATCTAATAACTATTAAGTTTAGCATATTTGATAAAAAAAATAAAAAATATTATAACCACAAAAGAAAATATAAGGAAAAAAAGATGTTAAACGAGTCATTTTTAAATTAAAAAAGAGTTCACCTGAACCATTTATACAGGTTAGAAAACCTAGCCTATTTATTAAATGGGTCAGTTCAAATCTGAATTTTTTGGGTCAGGTCATTCATTGACACCCCTATTTTCATTGGCAAGAAAGTTAATTATTTGTGGATGATGATGAATAATAGAAAATAGATGAATAAACCCAAATTTTGTTTGCTTGATTTTCATCTCCCAATATACACTAAAAATTTCGTCTGAACATACTCATAAAATTTTGTTATGACTAACTTAAAATTTTGGAACGTTTTTTTATGATATTTATTATGCAAATTACGTACAAATGCTTTAATATTTTACAATTTTATCATACACTCCATACATTAACGTTAATTATTTTTAAATTTATTTCAGAAATCAAAATTATAAATATTTTTATCATTAATATCATTTAAATGCTACACATTAAAATTTTAAACATATCCTTATAAATTCCACCTGATATTATGATAATTTTTTTTAAAGAAGACAACCACCTAAATAAGAAAAATTGATTAATTTATTATTTATCTTCCTCATTACAACTTTATTTATTGAAAACCTGCCATATATAGGAATTTTTATTGCGTCCTCCCACCTGACGCATCTTTACGTTCGGTATGCCGTGTTAACGCGACACCTGGCTACAACTTTACCCTATTGACCCGACGTTAGCCCATATGCTTTTATCACGTTTTTTTAAATATATTGGGTTACCCCGTGGTAATGTATATGAAATGGGCGGGAAACTAAAAAAATACGCGACTTTTACCTCTGGTATTAAAACCTTTATTGTATTAAACCTAAAATGTTCTACAGTCTTTATGGTTCCCGTAATTTTCATATACCTTACGTAAAGAAGTCGTTAAGTTTTTAAGGAGATGGAAGGATCGAATGAAGGTTCCGGTTTCGAAGACTTCATATTCTGCGAGGAAACTCAAACTTTAAGCTATGATGAAGCATTTTCTGATTTGATAGTAGTAAGTTTTTATGTGTACTGTTTGTTTTTCTTCTACTTTTTATTGTTTCATTAAAGGGTATCAAACGTTCGTTGTAGCAGTATCGTTCAACTGCGAGGACGACATTAGTTTTTTTAGCTCGGTATTAGGTCGGTATTCTATATTATAGAATGGTATACGTTCGGTACTGACTATAATGGATTAGTTAAATGTCGGGACACAGATGTATCGAGCAATACCGAGCAATAACGAGCAATAGCGTTGAACTCCTAACCTCGGTTTTAGGTCGCTATTGAGTATTATATACCGAGCAATACCGAGAAATACCGAGTAATACCGAGCATCTCAGTTGCACTCCTTACCTCGGTTTTAGGTTGCTATTGTTTAGTATATATCGGTATACGGTCGGCATTAATTAGAAAAGCTCGGTATAATTTCGGTCTAAATGTTTTTAATTTCTGGACTGATATTTAGATATAAAGCTAATATGGATGTTTGAATATTTATTAGGGTGTTTACAGTTGTGAGAAAGAAGCATATGCAAAATATTGTCAGTATGCGCATTCAACTGGATTTAGTGTTAGGAAAGAACATCACCATTTCTGGCCAAATACAAGGTTAATCAAATCAAAGGATTTTGTATGTTCTAAAGCAGGTTTCAAGAAGGAGAATGAAAGCGGTACTAAGTTAAAATATCGAAGATCATGTACAATAACAGGATGTTCAGCCATGGTTAGATTTTCCGTGAGTCAAGAGGGGCTTTGGTCAGTGAGAAAATCTGTAGAGAGTCACAATCACGAATTGGCTTGTTTTGTAGCAACAACGTTGAATTCTTTAACTAGGAAACCCCTAATTGATTCAGGCCAGTTGTACTGATTAAACGTATCAAGAGTGTTAAGAAGTTCCAACATGGCTAATGGTATCCGGAAGTTAGCCATTGGATAAAATATGTTCGATAGTAGGTAAAGGACGAAGCATTTCACGAGATCATCCATTGGAGTGCTATTATCCATCCTCTCAATGTCGTGGCAAGTGTCATTTGATGTTTTGCCACTGGATCTGCCACTGTCAATGTCAAAAATAATACCCCTATTTGGCATGCCTATCATTAATGCAACTTCCTCAGATGTGAATTTTATACTTTGTCCTTTAATAATGAAACTTTCAGTCTTCATGTCCCACTTCGATAATAGCATATGTATAAGTGGAACATTTTGAGGCATAAGAGAAAGGCTAAGGAACTGGCTGATTTGTAACTGACGCAATCTATCAACCAAAGGATCTCCAAACCTCTTAACAAGCACATTACAAACTTCTCTAAAACTCGAAGTCCGGCATCGGAAATGAATCTTTGGAGTATATCCCTGCGTAAAATCAATCGTTAGTACTGCTATTAACTAATAACGCCCAATACTGAGTCCTAATATTGCTCGGTATAGCTCAGTACCGATATGTACCGATCAATACCGAGCATTTAGATTAGCCTATACGTACTATTAAGGGAGAATACCGAGCTGTACCGAGTGTTAGTAATGCTCGGTACAGCTCGGTACCGAGTTGCACCGAGCAGTAACGTCCCATTAATGATTAATACCAGCCATTGTAGGCAAATACCGAGCAATACCGACTATGCCGAGCAGTACCGACTAACTTTTATGCTCGTTGCGCCTCGGTACCGAGCAATACCGAGGAGTATCGATCAATGCTCGGTGCCTCTTAACTCATTCTGTTCTTTCATGGCAGTACCGCTAGGTAAACCCTAACCCTGAATATTACATAAGAAGAATAGTGCTACCAATTATAGGTATTTTGCCGACCATTGTCTGCAAATACCTAGCAATACCGACTTTAATAATGCTCGGTAAAGCTCGGTAGCAAGCTCTACCGAGCTGTTAACCAAGCTATAACTACCATTATAGGTTAATACCGAAGCAGTATCGCTCGGTAAACTGCTCGTTATCGCTCGGTAAACCCTAATATAATTATGGAAGAAGAAGGAACTAACCTGAGGCATCGTAAATGCAGGGCTAGAAACTTCACTGAAATGGAAGAAGAAGCGCCGGTTGGAGAAGATGAAAGCACGGTATAGTTTGTTTGAAAACAAAGCAGTTTTTTTCGGGTCCGCGCTATAATATTCGGGTCCGTTGGTCGGGCCGTCATTTTTAAATTTCGCACGTGCCATATACCCACTCTTCGCCGGGTCAGGTATCGGGTAAAGTTGTTGCCAGGTGTCGCGTTAATATGGCATACCGAACGTAAAGATGCGTCAGGTGGGAGGACGCAATAAAAATTCCATATATAGAGGGTCTTAAACCTGCCATATATTGAAGAAATTATTCATAGCGGATGTCGGACTCAGCTATACGTCTGAAGGCGAATCAGGTGCAGCCACGTCAGCGGTACCGAGCCACGGCACTGAGCAAAAGGGTGACATGACGCATTTTAATTGGTCTCCGAACGACGTTCCGCGTAGGCATTGAATAATTTTTTCATATATAGAGGGTCTTATAATATAGTTTTTGTGTTCCATGTCAGCTTAAGCTTATTTTCAGCATAAGCATGGCCCTGTAACTCGGGCTTATGAAGAAGGGGTCCTATAGTTGCTTGCTTCTAATCCGATGAGACATTTTGAAAGGAACTATTTTCATGGAGAATCGAATTTTCCTTCTAATAACCATTTTACGTCCAAACAATACAGGAAATATACTATGTAGGAGAAGTTGAGAAGAGGAATAACAGGAAGCCAGTTCCAAGAGAAAAATACCCGAAGCCATTGATCTTTCATGATGGCAGGCTTGCCATCAGACCAGACCCTGTCAACGCCATAGCTATCTTCATGTGGTTGCCATTTGGGATTCTTCTATCAGTTCTAAGACTCACAATAGCAGTAACTCTGTTGTTTTATTGTACAATTCCTCTTGCATTTACTGGTATTAAATGGAAGGTAAGAGGAGACGCTCCATCTTCCCAAAATCTTCAAAACTCCATCAACCATCCAAACACAAAATCAGCTGCAGCTGCAGGCCAACTCTACATCTGCAACCACAAAACTCTCCTTGATCCGAACGTCATCTCCCTAGCCCTCAATAGAAAAGCATCATCAGTATCGTACGGTCTAAGTCAATTCTCTGCTATGATTTCCCCCATCAAGATCAACTGGTTGACAAGAAATCTAGAAGAGGACAGGAAGAGAATGGAAAGAATTTTGAGCCGAGGAGAGGATTTGGTGGTGTGTGCAGAGGGAACTACTTGCAGAGAGCCATATCTATTGAGGTTCAGTCCCCTCTTTACTGAGCTCACTGATCAGATTGTGCCGGTCGCCATCGACCTTCATGTTAGCATGTTCTACGCCACCACTGTCAGCGGCCGCAAGTGGATGGATCCTTTTTACTTTCTCATGAATCCTTATACTTGTTATGAATTGGAATTTCTGGAGAAGGTTGATACAAGCAGAGTTAGAACTAGTGATTGTAGCAGGTTTGATATGGCTAATCATGTGCAGAAGCAGATTGGGAAGGCTTTGGGGTTTGAGTGTACAATGCTTAGAAGAAAGGACAAGTATATGATGCTTGCATGAAATATATGGTCTCAATACACATAATAGAAACTCAAAAGGTTCATAATTTTAGTAAAGAGTTAGGAGCTCAATAACATGCTAGTGGCAAGCTTTGTGAACTTTGTAGCCATGCAGTGAAACAATTATTGAACTTGAATACTTGAATGATGTATAAATGTTCATGTGTTTTAATATTTAACATTCGAAATGCTAGTTGTTGATCCCAAGAGGGGCATTTTATTATAGAGTTGTTTACATTTGACTGGAAGTGATACTCTCGGAAACAATGTTAAACATAAGCCAAAGAAAAACGTTGATCATGGACTTGGATGAACACCAGTTGTCAAAGAAGGCAGGAGGTCCCTCATGCCACCAAAGAGCAGTTTGCTGTTATTAAATACGATATTGTGAACAAAACTTCGACTAGTGAGCCAGACTACTTAACCTCCCTCCACCTCTCAGGTAAAAGAGTTGAAAAGAGCCCCTTCTATGCGTGAGAAACCAATTGTTGAGGGAGAAGATAGTGCCCTGCTGTTGTAGAGCCAAGAACTCTTCAGACATAGCTTCTCGACATTGTTTGTGTTTGACTGCTTGATTATTGGTGTTATGTAGTTGAGAGGATTGGGTAGTGGTGAGAACGTCGAAGATGACCTTGGGACGTTGAATGCCGATTTGAAGGCGAGTTTGCATTGGGTGTTTGGATGGTGCGGTTGGTAGTGGAGGGGAAGGTGAGGAGGATTGAGACGGATGGGGAGATAATGAGGTGGATGGAGAGATGGTGGAAGACGGAGGAGTGGAGGGTGATGGATTTACCATGGATGAGATTACTGGTGATGGTGATGGGGAGGAATTTGAGGAAGAGGTGGTGGGAAGAGTAGAGGTTGGTATAAGCATCAGAGGATTGTGAGTGATTTCGGTGAAGGTTATGGAAGATGTTGAAGTGGGTGAGCTGTAAGGAAAGATATGTACATAAAAGACAACATGGAGGGAGATGTGAATTTTATGAGTGTGAAGTTTATAGCACCGGTATTCTTTGTGGGATGTGGAATATTCTAAGAAGATGCACTCTTGAGAGCAAGGTGATAGTTGTTTGTAGTGAGAGGTTGTAGCCATGAAAAGCATGGAACATCCAAAGGTTTTTGATGAGCATATGAGGGTAGAGGGAAGATGTCCATGTCAAAGTTGATATGGTATTTAGAGGTTGAGGGCTTTTGTTGGTAAGCGATTGATGAGGTAATTTGAGGTGAGTGCTTCGTCCAAAACAAGTTTGGAAGATTGGATGCATGAAGTAGGCTCGGATGGTGTCCAAGAGATGACGGTTCTTGCGTTCTACAAGACCGTTCTGTTTTGGAGTGTATGGATAGATGAGTTGAGTGGTTATTCTATGTTGGAGAAGGAAATGCCGAAAGTTGTTGCTTGTGAATTCATCACCTCCATCGAAACGTAGTGTTATAATGGATGTTTTAAAGAAAGTTATAATTAGTTGATGAAACTGTTCAAATTTGGAGGGAGTTTTAGCTTTGTTATGCATGAGATACAACCATTTAAAGTGAGTATAGTCATCAATAAAAACAATGTAATATCGAAAACCATTTAAAGAAGCTACGGGAGCTTGTTCCCAAAAAGCTGAATGTATTAGATTGAAACGGATGTTTACATGACTTGTAGAGGGGGAGAAGGATAGTTTGTGGCTCTTAGCCACGTTACATGACTTGCATGCGAAGGAGGGAGGAGTGCATACAGAGGGTATAATGTGAGCTAAATCTTGGATAGTTCGGAGATAAGGAAGACCGAGCCAAGTGTGCCAGTAAATGGTGGAGTTATTTGTTGAATGTAATGCTGTTGGAGAGGTGGTGGAGGCTGTGTGGAAGGGATAAAGAACGTCACAAAATTGGCCATGAAGAAAAATTTGTTTGTCCTTGAGGTCCTAAATAAGAAAACCATGAGTATCAAAGGATATGGAACAGTTATTGTCAGTGGTTAGTTTATGAATTGATAATAGATTGTGAGAGAGGGAATACACATGAAGAAGATTATAGAGGTGTAGCTTATGGTTGGAATCGGGCAAGGGAAGAAGACCCTGTCCTATATGTTGAATCAGTAAGGAGCTTCCATTTGCTATGGAAACTGAGTCATTAAAGTGTAAGGAGATGAGTGTTGAAGACTTGTGACCTCAGAGGTGAGATGAGATGTAGCGCTCGAGTCGAGGACCCATTCTGATGTGGGTGTGGAGGGAGAAGCAGTCAGGAATGCCCGGTTGGTTTGGTTGGATGCAAGCACGTACTACATATTGCAGTGATGCCAACAGTTGAGAGCTATGTGACCAATTTTATAGTAGATTTGGCAAGTTGGGTGGTTGACAGAGATGACTGGTGCTCTGTTGTAATTTGGATTGCTGGTGTTTAGTTTGAAGGGAGCTCCACGACCCCTTGAGGCTGTTGGAAATGAGCCAAGACCTCTGGTGATTGTATTGTGATTCGAGAGTAGGGCGGTGTGATCAATCTGCAGGGAGGAGTCCTTCTGAAGTTCATTATGAAGATTTATCTCTTCATTAAAGAGAAGAGAATAAAGGACTTCTACGCTTATAGGCTGTTGGGATGTCCAAATGGTTGATTTGAACGGATTGTAAGTTGAGGGAAGACTGTTTAGAGTATATAGGATGGCATCCTCGGTGTCGATTTGAGACCCGGTGGCTGCGATATTGTCGAGGAGGGCTTTGATCTGACTCAAATATTGAGGCATGATGGAGTCCCGCATCTGAATGTGATGCAATTCATTCTTGAGTTGTATCACACGGGATCTATTTGTAGGTTGCAGCCGGCGTTCAAGAGTGATCCAGATCTCTTGTGCAGTAGATAGGTTTAGAATGTAAGGCAAAACTGATGAGGATATAGTGGAGAGAAGCGTTGAAACCAGGTTCTGATAAATCAGTTGCCATAGTCAAAGATTAGTAGAGGGAGGTCCGGAAGTGGATGAGGAGGGTTTAACGAAGCTTCCTGTGAGATAGCCCTCGAACCCATTTGCAGAGAACAACTTATAGATCTAAAGATGCCAAATCGGATAGTTGTCATTGATAAGTTGGGTTGGAACAATGGATTTAAGATTGATCATGAATAACTTGAGGGGAGGGGGAATGGTGAAGTCGGCTATTGAGATGGAGAGGAAAGAGGAAGGTTGAGCAGGAAATATGAAGTCTTGGTCCGGCATTGGTGGAGGCAAGATCGGCTGGAGAGCCTACAACTATGATACCATGAGAAGTACCTGCAAAGGTTATTAAAGCATATAGAAGAAGAAGAGTTTTATAGTGTAAGAGAATCCTATCATTGATGAATGCAGAGCTGTTTTTACAATGCTATATAAGTATGAGACATATTGGAATGTAATGAGTGAGAGAGGCAGTGAATTTGAAATTCATCAAAATTTTATTTAGCATTTCTTTTTCATCAAACAAAGCATTAAAATTTCTTAAACTCTTACATTAAAATGTTTTACACTCACTTTTCATCAAACCGGACAACCCCATTATCCTTCCTAATTGTATCACATATCCATCTTACATTCTCATTTCCATCTCTCGACTTCTATATCAATTACTTTTCTACAATCAACATTTGAATTCATACATTGTCACCAACAACCTAATTGTAGTTTTATAAAATTTACTTTTAAGCCTTCATAATATTTTCTTATGACACAAAATTCTTGAGACACTTGTCCATTTTAATTGTACAACCTTTACCATAAAAATTTATATCCACATGTATAAATTTATTTTTTGATATAATAGATCCAAGATATTTAAATATATATAATTGGGTATCACCGTCTCTTCTAATATTTATGCCTAATTAAATTACATATCATAAGCTCATCCTTTGTTCTATTAATTCGAATATATCTCTCTTCCAAGCATTTCTCCAATGTTCTAATTTTTCATTAATTTTAGAGGATAACTCACAAACTATAATTATAATATTTACAAAAAAAATATGCCAAGACACCTCACTTTGAATGTCATTTGTAAACAACTTCATAATTATTACAAAAAAGATATAGATTAAACTCCTTGATGTAAATTTACATTAATTAAAAGTTATTTTATCGCTTCAAAATTACTATTAGTTGGGCTCGATTATGAATATCATTAATAACATCAAAATATCTTTGACGCACACCTTTTTGCTTTAAAATCTACTAAATTGATTTATGTGATACTTAAATCACATATTTTTTCGAGATCAATAAAAATTATATGAATATACTTTGGTTGTATTATATAATTTTCTATTACATATCTTAAGACAAATATTGCTTGCATAATAGGCCTTCCTAAGATGAAATCAAATTGGTTCTTCATAAATTTCTTATTACTATTTTCCATTACTCACACCCATAGTTTTATTTCATGGCTTAAGTTCAAAAACTTTAAAATTAACTTACAGGCGCGCTCAATAATTCTGCTGATTTTGGACTCCAAAAACCCTAGGTTGAGTTGAGTTGATTAAGAACTGAATCACTGACGGTATCAGATTATGGATTGAAGAATTGCATTAATTCTATGTGAAATATGGTAATAACCACACACAAAAAAGCAATAAACAATATAATAAAAACTATTAAAAAAAAAAACTTAAGCCGGCATGATGTACTAGGTGATAAATTTCCGCATGCATCTTTTATGGTGGGTGATGAGATTCAAAAGTTAATTAAAAATGGTGTGAGAAGGTCCCAATCCTCCACATTACCATGGATAAGTATGGCACAATATGAACTTCAATATTCCATGCCATGATTTCCTCAATAATGAACCATGTGTAAACTTCAAGTACTAAGTACTGTGTTGTACAAAATGCATGAACTGAAAGTTGGAGATTTACTTAAAGTAAGCAAAAGAAGAAAAAACAACAACAACAACAACATTATCAAGCCTTTATCTCACTACGTGGGATCAGCTACATAAATCATTTTTCTCCATTGTGTCTTGTTAAGAGTCAAATTCCCATTTAGATCTAATAAAGAAGGGTCAGTTCTAGTATTTTCTAACCGATTCTTTATAGGTCTACTTCTATCTTTCTTAAAATAAGCAAAATCTAATACATCTACTCTCCTAATCGGGTCATCCGAAGGTCTCCGTTTTATGTGACCAAACCAAATAAGGCGACTCTCTCTAATCTTATCTGCCACTAGAGCTACTCCAACTTTTTCACGTATATACTCTTTTTGTATTCTATCTCTAAGAGTAAAACCACTCATTCACCTGAGCATTCTCATCTCCGCAACACTTAATATTATGCTTCTCTTTTAATGCCAACATTCTACCATAAAGCATCACAAACACTTAACTTAAACATTGTCGTTGTCAAATCCTAAGTCCTGGATGAGAAAAATGGAGGATTGCGTTATGTAGTCGACAACCAACATGAAATTGTCGAATAATCATGACAAAGAGAAGAAAATGAAGACATAAAATTGGGATGCTTTCTAGATTTATTTCTCATACAACCTAAAAAAAGACAAGTTTACAAACGCAAATTGTATGATGACGTATTTGCACGTCATACAGACTTGGCAAGCCAAAAAATATAATATATATATATATATATATATGCCAATGTAGGGAGCCGCAATACTTTCCTTTGGAAAAGAGATTGAGGTAATGCTTTTTGGTCTTCACCGGAAAAACTGTGTAACTTCAGTCCTTGTACTCCAAAAGGCGCAAGTTCTACCTTCAAAAAGATTGATACGATGCTAAGGTTATTTTTATGACAGAAGAATTAAAGAAAAATACTAACATACCAGCTGTGATCAACCAATTGTAGTCTTTGAATACGTGGCCTCCAGCATCTATATTTTTAATCATTTTTAGAATTATTTAAAAGCATTTAGAAATCATAGGAGGCCATTCCACCGCCTAAAGAAAATCATTAGGCTCCATCTGATTGGAATTTTGTGATCCCTCTTCCACCTGCCCTCAATGTGAGAACCGGTTCATTCGGAATCTACCAAGAGATGCAAGATCACACTCGAGCTGCTTTAATATTTTTCTTCGAGATGGAGATTTCCCAGTATCCTCATTCATCAGTGCAATGGGCACTGGTTCAAGATTCACCGATTCCTTCTCTTTGTAGCAAATTAGCCAATTTCAAACAGCATGATCTAGTTTCTAAAGAAGTCCACCTCGCGCTGGCTCAAAAGAAGAAACGGCTTGCCGGTGAACATTTTGCCACAATTGAATTTTAAAATGGATTTTCATGGGGATTAAAACAAATCAACAATCCAATCAGTTAAATCTCTGCTCTGTGATTTTGTAAATCACAACAAAAAATCCAACTGTGGGACTGTGGCAAAACACCTCTCCTTAAGGGCATCTCCAACCGAAAAACCCATTTTTCACTCTAAAATGCAGCAAAACTTCAAAATACAGTAATTCATCTCCAATCAAACGACATTTTCTCTCTTCTTTTTCAAGCTTCCTGCGAAGGTAACCATTTTGTCCTCTTTCCTACGCTTTTCTCCTCTTTCACACACTTCTTCGACAAATTCCGTAGCCCGCCAAACTTTGGCTTGAGATTTGGAGTTCGAATGGACCAAATGGCCAACGGCGTACGGTGATATGCAGTTCGGTTGGAGATGATCTAAGCTTAAGCTACCTGTCAAGTCCAGTTTATACCCTTAGGGCTCATTTGATTGCTTGTAGATGAAAAAAATATTTTTAAAAGTTAAAATTCTCATTTTTACGGAGTATTAGAAGGTTTATGAAGTTTGTAATCAAAGTTGGTGTCCAATTACATCCAACTAAATAATCAATTTAGAAAAGTTAATCATTTTTAAAACAAAATTATAACTTCAAGCAATCAAATGAGCCCTTCAAAGAAAATTTGAAATCCAAGCGAGGGACATAACCCTCATCTTTCAATTGCATGGTTAGTCCTTCAAGAGCAACATAAATATCATCACTGTTTCCATGAGATTTATCAGCAGTAAGAAACATGTGCACCTCACTCTGACCAACTTCAATGGAGCTATAACCTGGGCTCTTCTTCACACTAGCGTCTTTCATGGCTGCTCTTACTTTAGCTACGTCATCCCACCTAGCAGCATCAGCATATATATTCGACAAGAGGACCCAATACCCCGAATGCTTAGGCTTCAACTGTATAAGATGACGAGCTGCTACTTCTGCTAACTCCAGATCACCATGAATCCTGCAACTACTAAGCAATGCACTCCAGATGCAGTCATCAGGTTCAATTGGCATATCTTTAATGAATTCATAGGCCCTATGAAGCTCGCCAATTCTACCCATGCTGTCCACAATACATGCATAGTGACTTACATCAGGAATGATTCCATATTGCTTCGACATTGTTTCGAAGAATTCCAAACCTTCTTTGAGCATCCCTGCATGACTACAAGCTGATAGAAGAGCAATGAAGGTGACTCTGTTTGGCTTCAAACCTTCTGCTTTCATCTCTTCAAAGAGAAGCAATGCTTCCTGAGGACGATCACTGAAACCATAAGAGGAAATGATGGTGTTCCATGAAATAATATCACAAAAATCCATTTCCTCAAACACTTTTCTGACATCTACTGTGCATCCACATTTCCCATACGCATCCATGAGAGCATTTTGAACAACCATGAAGGATTGGGAGAAGCCGCTCTTGATCATTCTCCCATGCAATGCAGTTGCTTGACGAAGATGAGTTGAATGCCCACAACCACTGAGGACAGAGCTGAAAGAGTATTCATCTGGTTTGATTTCTTGAGCAAGCATGCATTGGAAGAGCTCAATTTCCTTGTCAAAATCATGGGCTGCAGAATAGCTTGCAGCCATCGTGTTCCAGGACACTATGTCCTTCTCAAGAAGCCTCTCAAAGATGTTGAGAGTTGATTCCATGTCGCCCTTCTTAGCATACATAGCCATGAGCGCATTGCCAACAGATGTACTGGACTCTAGGCATTTTCTAATAGCATAACCATGTACCTCTAATCCAGTTTTTGACATTGGGAAGCACTCTGGAAGGATTAATGACAAGGATGTTCTTGAGAGTGTTTGAGCGTCATGAAGACACAGGGCAGTCATCTTACGGAACACATCGAATGCTTCATGTGCTCGGCTACATTTGAACAAACCGTTAATAATGGAAATCCACAGATGGGGATTCCTCAAGTTAACACTTTCAAAGAGTCGACAAGCATAGTCCATTAATCCATGGAAGCTATAGCTAGCTGTTAATGCTGACCACAATCTATCTTTATCAACTAGAGTCATCTCTGTTATCTCCACTTTCTTCAGAGCAAATCCATGAAACTCCTTGAGCCAATTCAAAGAGGGGATTTTAGGAATTACAGGAAGAAGGGTATTAAATGTAGCTGCATTCAGACTCACTGTTGATGTAGAGACCATCTCACCAAGAATCTCCAAAGCTAGCTCGATATTCCCTGATCGAACACAGCCAGCAATAAACGAATTCCAGCTGCAAACACCAACCTGGAATCCATCGTCTTCCATCATCTCCAACATTTTCAATCCACTCTCCAACAACTCGTTTTCCACAAGCGCCAAAATCATTGAATTCCATGTTGCTTCATTTCTATTGGGAATTCGATCGAACAATTTGAGGGCATCACATAATGGCGCCAGCTTTGCGTACATATCAAGAAGCGCGGTGGCGCAGAAAACATTTTGAGGGTGAAGCCCATATTTGAGCATCTGGGAGTGGAGCTGCCGGCCGAGGAAGAAGAGGCCGAGGAGAGATGAGGAGCGGAGTACGAATGGGAAAGTGAACTCGTTGGGGCGGAGGCCGGCGACGAGCATGTCGAGGAAGAGGTCAACGGCGTGCTCCGGGAAGGCAGCTGCGAGGTCGCGGATGACGGTGTTAAAGGAGAAAGTTGTGAGGACATGGGAGGGAATAAGGCAAAGGATTGCGGCGGCGCAGTCGGGGCGTCCAGCGGAAGAGTAGAGGAAGAGGAGATGCTGAAAGACCTGGGGGTCATCGCATGCGAGGAGGCCAAGCCGAAGGAGGCGAGCATGAATTTGTAATCCTTCTCGGAGAGAGCCCTTCGCCGTGCACTGCTCAAGCACGACGGTGAGGGAGGAGGGGGACTCGGGTTGTATCCGCTTTAGCGGCAAAGAAGAGGAGGATTTCTGCTGATTGTTTCGGCCTCGAACGGAGTTCGTAGAATGGAAATGGACGACGGAATTATTGGTGTAGGGAGAAGGAAAAGAAGATAAAGGAAGACGTTGAGGAGGGGCGGGAGCCGCCGTCGCCGTTAATGCCATCACGAAGCGGCTGATAGCCTGCTACGAAGCGAGGGCGTTCCGATCGTGAAAATCCGAACTGTGAAAACTGTTATCGTGAGAGGAACGTGGAACAGGACAAGCAGAGACAGGAAATAAGGAAAAGATTTTATTTCATATTTAGTTAGGTACAGTCTAAACTATTTATAGAATGTGGTAACATGAGTAAACCAATAGTATAATGCCAAGTGTGTTCTTGATAACAGATCAAGAAGCTGACGTGTCTAATAGCCCCCCTCAAGTAGTTGCTTCGGATGAAGTAACTAGCTTGCTGATTAAGGTATTGAATCGAGGTGTTGGTAGGGGTTTTGTGAAAACGTCTGCGAGTTGATCTTTGGTGGAGATATGATGAACTTGAATAGTATTGTCTTTGATGCAGTTCCGGATGTAGTGGCAATCCACTTCGATGTGTTTTGTGCGAGCGTGAAAGACCGGGTTGTTGGCCAACGCGATGGCCGAAGTATTGTCGCAGAATAGTTGAGTTGCTGCTTGCTGTGGGTGCTGTAGTTCTTGAAGTAGATGCCGTATCCATACGATCTCTGTAGCAGCCGAAGCAATGGCACGGTATTCGGCCTCGGTCGAGGATCGAGCTACAGCAGTTTGTTTCTTAACACTCCATGAGATAAGTGAGGAGCCTAAGTAATTGCAAAATCCAGAGGTGGATTTTCTGTCGGTGTCGTCGCCGGCCCAGTCCGAGTCTACGTATGATCGGAGAGTAGGTTTGTCCCGGAAGAGAGGAAGACCAATGTGAATGGTACCCTTTATGTAGCGTAGTAGCCGTTTGATAGCTTCAAAGTGGTGGTTTGTTGGATTTTGCATGTGTTGACAAACTTTGTTGACAGCAAATGCAATATCCGGTCTCGTGAGCGTAAGATATTGTAGAGATCCGGCGATTTGGCGGTACAAGGACGGATTACAGAATGCATTAGAATCGAGTTTATGATTTGATTTCTTTAATTGAAATGGTGTAGAAACCGGTTTAGAGTTAGTCATACCAGCGCGAGAGAGGATTGTGTTTGCAAATTGTTGCTGATTAAGGTGTAGACCGTAGGTAGTATGGACGACATGAATACCAAGAAACTGCGATATTGGGCCGAGATCCTTCATTGCGAATTTGGCACTTAAGTTGTTTATGAGCTTTTGGATCTCCTGTTGGTTATTACCGGTAAGTATAATGTCATCGACATAAACGAGGAAATACATAACTACATTATGATGATGATAGAGAAGAAGAGACGTATCTGAGTTGCTGAACCGAAAACCCAAGCTGTGTAGATGGCCGGAGAGCGTGGAGAACCATTCTCTCGGAGATTGTTTTAGACCGTAAAGAGCCTTCTTGAGCTGACATACATGGTCTGGATGAGCCGTGTCCACAAATCCAATGGGTTGTTTCATATACACGGTATGATTTAACGAGCCGTGCAAGAACGCATTGGAGACATCCAGTTGACGTATGGGCCATTCGTGATGAATTGCGAGGCTTAGAAGAATCCTTATTGTCATCATTTTTGCAACAGGACTAAATGTTTCGTCGTAATCGAGTCCGTATTCTTGATTGAAGCCTTTGGCTACAAGACGAGCTTTGTACCGAGCGGGAGTGCCGTCGGAATTTAACTTTGTTCGGAAGGTCCACTTGCATCCTAGTACATTTTGGTTGGAGTTGGGCGGTACTAGAATCCAAGTGCCTTGAGTTTGAAGCGCTTGAAACTCGTCGGACATAGCGCGACGCCAGTGCTCTTGTTTGGCGGCTTCATGGTAGGTGGTTGGGTCAGGTGGAGGATGAGTGTGCAGCAGATTGAAAATCTTTTTGGGTTTGAGGTTCCCTGTTTTGGAGCGGGTAGTCATAGGATGGGTGGGCAGGGTTTGAGCTGGATTACTTGGAGTAGGTTCGATGACAGTGGGCGTAGTGGAAGTGGAATGAATTTGAGCTGTGGTAGCAGGCGGTGATGTGGTGGTTACTGTGTTGTGTTGTGTTTGATTTTGTTGCGGTGTAGGGACGAGAATCAGTGGTGGGGTGTAATTGTATGATGGATTGGCACAACGGCTAGACGTGGATTGAAGGTAAGGATAAATGGATTCATTGAAGATGACATGCCGAGATACAAAAACTTTGCCTGTTTGGGGATTGAGACACCGATAGCCTTTTTGAGCTGAAGAGTACCCAATAAAAACGCACGGTGTGGAGATGGGAGAGAGTTTGGAATTTTGATAAGGTTTAAGCCACGGGTAACATAGTGACCCGAAGATTTTGAGATGATTGTAGCTCGGTGGTTTGCGAAATAAGCAGTGATACGGGCTGATGTTGTTGAGCGTGCGGGTAGGAAGCCGGTTGATTAAGTAGACAGCTGTGAGCAGAGCCTCAACCCATAGAACATGCGGAAGATGAGCGTCAGTTAGCAGAGTCCGAACAGTTTCAAGAATGTGTCGGTGTTTTCTTTCGGCGACGCCGTTTTGCGCGGGAGTGTATGGGCAGGTGTATTGGTGTTGTATGCCGAGCTGACGAAAGTATTTTTGAAATTGGTTGTTGAGAAATTCCCCTCCTCCGTCAGATCTGAAGGTTTTGATTTTCGCATCGAACTGCTGAGAAATCATATTATGAAATTCTGTAAACTTAATGAAAACATCAGATTTGCACATCAATGGATATACCCAACAATACTTCGAAAAATCATCTAAGAATAAGACGTAATATTTGAAACCTTGTGATGATGGGGTCGGGCAAGGACCCCAAACATCAGAATGAACTAAATCGAATGTTTTTAAACTAGAAGTAGATGAGTGATTAAATGGTAATCTTTGGCTCTTGGCCATTCTACAAGAATTGCAATGTAAAGAAACTTTGTTATTACAAAGAGACGGAATATGCTTTTGTAAGTAAATGGTGGTAGCTTCCGCAGGATGTCCTAGGCGTGGATGCCATAGGTTGGAGACTTCTTGAGCTGAAAAAAGAGCTAGGTGGTGAGTATTGATGTTGGGGCGAATTGGATAGAGGCCGTTATGACAAGGACCTTTGAGAAGTAAACGACCCGTCTTCGAGTCCTGGATTTGAAATCCGTTAGCGCAGAATTTGACGGTGCAGTTGTTATCTTTGGTTAACCGGTAAATGGAGATTAAATTGAAAGATAGATTAGGTACATGAAGTAAGTGTTGGAGATAGAGATTACCTGCCGGAGTAGGCAATATACCTTTACCTGAATTTTGAATGGGGATTTGATTACCGTTTCCTAAGGTAATCTGATGATGACCGTTGTAAGGTTGAATAGCTTGAAGTTGGGACGAGTCAGATGTTAGATGGCTAGTGGCCCCGGTGTCAAGAAACAAGTCAGGTGAGGAGGAGGAGTCAGCGGGTGCAAAGAGAGCAGTTTTTGGTGATTCGTCTGTGTATGCAGGATCATGTCGATGCCAACACTTGATGGCAGAGTGTCCGGTTTTGTAGCAGATTTGACAAGTGACTAAACCGGTAATCTTTTTGTCGTTCTTGGGGCGGGAAGATGGTGTTGAAGATGTGGTTCTTCCTCTGTTGTTAGGATAGCGATTTCTACCACGACCACGATAGGTTGCAAGCGCAGTGGAGGGTTCAGTGAGTTGAAGGTTCTGAAGATCGGCAGTGACTTCTTGAGCCATGTTGAGTTCTTCGCTACACAGAAGCGTGTAGAGGTCGTCAAGACTCAGCGGTTGCAGATTTGTCCTGATGGAGGTTTTGAATGCCTGGTATTGGGATGGAAGACCGTGAAGGGTGTAGAATATAACTTCTTCGGGATCAAGAGGTGAGCCCGTTGCCGCAATGGCATCAACCAAGGATTTAATAGATAGTAAGTATTGTGCCATCGTTTGGTTCTTCATGGACAAATGGTGCAGCTCATTCCGTAACTGGATGGTACGAGAACGAGTGGAGGATTGTAACCTCCGAGCAATTGTATCCCAGATCTCTGAGCAGTGATCAAGACACAGCACATAGGGAAGAATACTTGGAGAGATGACAGAGTAAAGCGCTGCGGCAAGATTTTGATCAAGAAGCGTCCAAAGATGCGGGGAGAGATGAGGATCGTTGGCAGCAGGGTAAGTGCAAGATCCATCAAGAAAGCCCTCGAAGCCGTTCGCCTTGAATAGTTTGAAAACTTGTGAACGCCATAGAGGGTAATTTTCTGCTGTTAGGGTAAGGGAGATGACGCTTTTGATGTTGCTCATAAGAAACTTGAGCTGGGTGGGTATAGTGTGATTGTCGAAGGGATTTGCGCTTTCCCCCCTGGAGTTGGTGGCGTCGATGGATGTTGAAGAGGAAGTCGCCATTGGGTGTAACGCCGGAGAGGAAGACGACGAAGAAAAATGGAGTCAGGTAAAGACCTGCTCTGATACCATGTTATCGTGAGAGGAACGTGGAACAGGACAAGCAGAGACAGGAAATAAGGAAAAGATTTTATTTCATATTTAGTTAGGTACAGTCTAAACTATTTATAGAATGTGGTAACATGAGTAAACCAATAGTATAATGCCAAGTGTGTTCTTGATAACAGATCAAGAAGCTGACGTGTCTAATAAAAACATCAGAGCTTTCAAGTTTTTTTTGTTTACACAATTTTCTTTGGCCTATTGTTGGTCTATTTGATTGAGAGATTTGGCTTACAACTAAGAGGTTCAGGATTCGAGTTTATGTGTTTGCGTTGTGTGCATGAGTTTGTCTTAAATGGCCTAAATGTCCAAAAAAAAAAATAGTTTTTTTTGCAGTAGTTTTGACCAACAAATCAAGATCTACTGCCTCCAAGCTTTCAAGTTCCATTCAGGATATTAGATTGAATCCCTTAACTATTTTTGTTGCCTAAAATATTTATAATGATAAGGAAATATTTAAATTTTATATGAATAATCAATACATATAGATAAAATAAAAATTATAAGAGATGAAAATTATTTTTTTGAATATAAGATCAGTGAATGAAAAGATCATGGGGCATGACTATTTAAAATGATTACACTAATACATG